GCTCCCCTCATACCACCCCGTTACACACACACACAGACACAAATGTAGACTATGTGAGAGAGTACTTTATTTTAGTATATAACCTCTTTGGCCTTTGATAGCGTTAGTGATTTATCGTTAGGTAGGAGTGTGTGTGTGTTGGGGGTGTTTTAAGAAATAATAGGATAAAATACATAGGTTTACTTTGAAGTTGTTTTTAGAAAGTTGGGATAGAAAATTTTAATTTGCTCTTAAAATAAATGAGTTTTTGAAAGTGTAACACCCCCCCCCCGCCCGACAGAGTTTCATTCTTGTCCCTCAGGCTGGAGTGCAGTGGTGTGATCCTGGCTCACTGCAACCTCTGCCTCCTGGTTTCAGGCTATTCCCCTGCCTCAGCCTCTTGAGTAGCTGGGATTACAGGTGCACGCCACCACACTCAGCTAATGTTTTTTGTTTTTAGTAGAGATGGGGTTTCGCCATGTTGGTCAGGCTGGTCTTGAATTCCTAACCTCAGGTGATCTGGCTGTGTCCCCTCAAAGTGCTGGGATTACAGGCATGAGACAGTATACCCAGCCTAAAGTTAAATTATTTTTTACTGTTGACGCTTTCTAAATCTCATCTTTTTGCTTTCTATTCATATTTGAAACACTTAGAAAATAATTAGGGTGTTTTGTTAGTATAAACTAAACCTGGCTTCAGTATAATTCTCTAAGAATTACAGATGAAGCACATATTTTAAAGCAGGAAGTATCTTTCGACTCAGATTAAATTTTATTTGGGAAATATAATCTTTACAAATGGTCCATCAGGACCAGCCATTCATAATTAAGACATGCTCTTCCCTTTGCCTGGAGTATCTTCTGGATCTTTAGCATCAAGCTCACACATCACCTGCCTAGCCTTTCCTAGCTTCCTGAGTTTCCCTTTTCTCTGTAATATTATTTGCAGCCCTTCAGTATGGCACTTAGCAGTTTGTTGTGATGTTTATATGTGTTGTATTTGTTTATATGTCTATATTGTTTTGAATTGTGAGTTCCTTGACTTTCAGACTGGGGTTGATTTCACTAAACTTGTAATGTGTTGTAGTAGATGCTTAATACATACATGAGTAAATTAATTTTGAATTATGCAGATTATGCACTTATATACTTAGCTACATATATTCTGTTGTCTGTAAACCTGAGTTTACCTAGAAACAATTTGACTTTAACATGTATATTTTCAAATTACCAATACTGATTTAATTGGATATAGACATCGTTAGCCATTTAAAATACACCCTTAATAGGCTTATTATGTTTTAATTATTTAGAATGCCAGTAGGTAGGCTTATTATGTTTTAGTAAATTTAGCATATCAAATATAGGGAAGCATTTAAGTAAAATTTTAGTGTAAGAAACAGAGATTTGTTTAAATTGGGCAATTTGTTTAATTAGCAAAGATACTAAATTGGTTATAATTTTCCCCCTTAATTAGATTTAGTTATCTTTGTTAACCACATTACTAGGTATCCCAGAACGTTCTTAGATTAGTGTTTTCTTTTAAAGACTTCATTTTGTAATAATTTTATACTTACAGAAAAGTTGCAAAGGGTGTGTAGTGTTTCTGTATATCCTTATCTGGTTTCCCTGATTAACAGCTGACATAATGCTAGTGCCTTTATCAGAACTGAGGGATTATTATTATTGGTGTATCACTGTTAACTAAATTACAGACTTTATTATGATTTCACTAGTTTTTTTGTTGTTGTCCCTTTTCTGTTCCGTGATCTAATCCGGGGTACCACACTGTGTTTAGTAGGTTAGTGTATCCATTACAAGTGAGTAAATATTTCTACATTTGGCTAATTTGTTTGCCTGTTTAGCATTAGAGTGATTTTATTTTTCGGACTGTTCACTTTATATCTGAAACTGATTTTTAAAAATGAATTGTATCTCCAATAAATGTTACTTTTGTGGTAGTTTTGATGGCTCTATACTGTTCATTTTTGGCATTTTCTCTTAGAATTACCTCTAGAGCCAGTTGGTACCACATAAGAAAAATTATTCTCACTCATTTGTAAAAATTTTCTTTAAAATGTGTTCCACAAAACACTAGGATTGTGATTTGTCCTGTGGAAATTGTCTTTGGAGTCACAAATGTGATACACTTCATTACTATGTTCTTAGAAGATTCCCATTTTCATTAGCTTACTAAACATGTCTTACACAGTGGTAGTTGTTTAGTAAACATTTGATGAATAAGTAAACGCTATTGTTACGGAAATCTAACTTAAACAGTGTTTCTCCACTTGTGACGGTGGAAACCTTTTTCCTGATAATGCCTGTTTAAATCTGGGGAAACATACTTTATTAGTCATAACAGTTTTGACTTATAAAATAGTACTAGAAAGATTGACCCATTTTATTTATAATATGTTTTATTAAAAAAAATTTGATCTTCAAGAAATATGTTATAGGCTCTGAAGCCATTTTCAGTGAAGGAGTTTTGGGATAGTTTCACTAATAGCAAAATTATTGAAGAAAAAAATTGCCCTTTTAGATGACCAGTTAGAATGGGCTGGTTTTAAGTATAGCTATGTGATCTTGAGCTTTGTGACCATAACTTCTGAATATTATGAATGTTCCCATCACTTGAAAGCACACAGCATATAGTTAGTATTACAGAAAGACCTCGGAGGAAGTTTGCAGAATTTGCTAGTCTTGTGTTGCTGTGGGAACAAGTGCATTTATTTTTCAGTAGATTCAGCATACCATTTTTTGAAGGAAAGTTAGCCATTTGTTTGTAGAGCTGAAACTTCCTTATTTCTTCTTGATCTGAGAAAAAAGATTACTAATTGGGATGTCACTCTCCAAAGAGGAGGTAGGTTTGGCCTGTAGTAAGCCTTGGATTCCAGCACATGCAAATAAATGAATCCATTGATAGTTCTACTTAATTGTGAAAACATTTAGTAACTTTTCATAAATTATTTTTGATTACCAGAATTTAACATACTAAATTTTTTTGGAACCTAAAAACATATTGGGTGGAAGAATTGGTAATGTATGATAATTGAGGCTTTCTTTGATACTGAGATCATATAGTGGTAGAGAATTCTTAAAGGAACTTGTCCTGAGTTTTCTTCAGCATTGCTAGGTACAATTTTCTGTCAATTGAGAGAATGCATATAAGATAAGCAGCAAGCCTTTAAAGTAGTTAGCATTTTCTTTCAGTGCTTTATTAATATTTCAGTGTAAATAAATGGAAAAGAAAAGAGAAGAGATACTGAAACTCTTCTCTTTAGAAGGGCATTAACTTTTGTGAGGAAATTTTCTTTGCTTTTTTTTAAAAATTGAGGCATAATAAATTGCACTCATTAAAAATGACCAGATTTGTGAAACCGTTAGTTATCACAGTCAAGATTTAGGACATTTCTATCATCTCCTCAGGTATGTGCCCTTTGCAGTTCATCCTTCTTCTATTTGTGGCCCCAGGCAGTCATTAATTTGTTGTTTTTTTTTTTTTTTTTTTTTTTGGAGCTAGAGTTTGCTCTTTCGCCCAGGCTGGAGTGCAGTGGCTTGATTTTGCTGCAACCTCCACCTCCTGGGCTTAAGTGATCCTCCCAAGTAACTGGGACTGTGGGCATGCTCTACTACACTTGGCTGATTTTTGTATTTTTTTGTGGAGATGGAGTTTTGCCTTGTTGCCCAGGCTGGTCTCCAACTCCTGGGCTCTAGTGATCTGGCTTCCTCCTGAAGTGCTAGGAATACAGGCATGAGCCACTGGGCCTGGTGGGAAAATTGTTTTTAAAGAGCCTTTAATGAGTGAGATCATCCCAGCCCTTAGCTCACTGTGAAAGGGTAACACTTAATGGGTATGGGCTGTGGAGCTTGAAACCCAGGTTAGAATTTTGGCTCTGTTTTATGACTTTGGGGAAAACATTTAAATTATTCAAATGCATTTTTTTAAATAATGCAAAGTTGTTAATAGATCCTATTTATTATTGGGGATTAAGTTACATAAATGTTGGTATTTAGTGCAGTGTGACATACAATATATAACCAGTGAATGTTAGTGTGTATCTAGGATGTTCTAGTTTAATCAGTGGAATTTTTGGTTAAATTAATATTAATTTTTTTTGGTTGACTTTCCACCATCTGAAATATGTTGATTTGTTTTTTTCTCAAACCAGTTTAACTTAATTGGTTAACTTTTCATAATTGAGGCTCCTGTAGAGCTTTGAAATGACTTTTGCTGAATATATAGGTACAATTCAAATGGGAGACTAACTTGATACCTGTATAGAGCACATGTAACTTAAATAAACTTAAGTACATGATACAGATTGTCTTCTTGTCACTTATCTTGTTTTTCTCCTAAAAGGGGACCTTGAAAAAAGGTGCGTTTGTGCACATCTTTGTGTGTGTGTGTGTGTGTGTAGTTTTTTAAGTTTTGATTTGTTGGGTTAATAGTTTCTTTTTCATTTTCCATGCCTAGCCACAATAAAAATGCTTTGTCTATATATGCTACCTTTCTTTAAATGATTTTAATACTTTGTAAGTAAAACAAGGATACTTTACGGTTTTAATAGGTATGGGATAAAAATTTCAAGTATTTGGTTTTAGCTCTTTTCTGTGGATTTATTGTAAAAGCAGTGTCTGATGCTTAATTTGTGAAAAGGTTGTGGTTAAAAACAATTGTTTTTATGCTTTAAGCCATGTAATTTTTTTTATGTGTCAAGTTAAAGTACCATATACATAGTTTTTTTTTTTTTTTTTCTAAAAATGATGAACTGAGTAAGAATTTAATAGGATTTCTGGTAAAATTATATACTACATGCATGATGAAGAAACATGATTTAGTAAAGGTTCGTTCTACATTTCCAAATGTATTTTCTAAAAACGAGTGAGGATTTTTTTAAACAATAATTCAGAAATACCTTAAGTGTGTTCTTAGACTCAAAACTATTAAAATAATTTGGTATTAGGTGATTTTCAATTGATAGCTTTATTTCTTATGGTATTTTTTTTGTCTTTCTATAGGGCTGAAAGACACACAGAAGTCTTCATGGATATAGTTGATACATTTAATCATTTAATTCCTACTGAACACTTAGATGATGCCCTATTTCTAGGATCCAACCTGGAGAATGAAGTCTGTGAGGATTTTAGTGCAAGTCAAAATGTCTTAGAGGACTCGCTGAAGAACATGCTCAGCGATAAGGATCCTATGCTAGGATCTGCAAGTAACCAGTTCTGTTTGCCTGTTTTGGATAGCAATGATCCCAATTTCCAGATGCCTTGTTCAACAGGTAATTCTTACTTTTTTTTTTTTTTTTTAGTCTGCAATTTAAAATAAAAAAAATTTTCAGCAGCTTTTTCTTTTTTCTTTTTTTTTTTCTTTTTAATGAGGAGGGTAGTGAATATAGGGTTCTTTCCTTTGAATTTAGAGCTTCTTTTCCAGGCATCAGAATTAGAATTAAAACTAAATTTTCTTCCAAGGAGTGTGGCGTTATCCTCAAGGATATTATGGATATAGGTAGGGTGACTATATAATTTATTACTCAGTGTGGGATACTTTTTAGAATTACAGGGAGTACTTTAATAATTACAGCATGACAACATGTGTAAATTGGGACACTTTAGTAAATAGGGATTGCTTGGCACATGGAGACATGTGGTCACCTTAGGCCTTCTTCAGTCAAGGAGATTGGCTGAATTGACCTTTCTCAGCTTACCTCCCAGCCCCTGAAGTATATTACATTGTTTGTTCCCATTTCAGCTCCCTTGGTATTTTGTATACATGTATCTTATAACCAGAGAAATAACTTTATACCTCTGCTGCCCTGTATAGTAAACATTAGCTACATGTAACTCTTGGTCACTTGTAATGAGTCTGGTCCTAATTCAGGTCTGCTATAAAATGCCCATTAGATTTTGAAGACTCAGTATAAAAAAAAGTTAAAAAATATTTATTCAATTTTTATTTAATGTTGCTTATGTGCTGAGGTAATATTTTGGATATTTGTGGTTAAAATTTATGTCACCTGTTTTTTTTTTTTTTTTTTTTTTTTTTTTATTTTTTTTTTTTTTTTTTTTTTTTTTGCCTTTTGAAAAATGTCAACTTGAAAATTTAAGATTACATATATGTCTTACCTTATATTTCTGTTGGACAGAACAGGGTATATAGTTGAAGTAACTCAAAGACTGAAGATGTTAATTTTCTGTAAGGTTAAACTATTCTGAATAAGAAATTACTTTGTTATTATGTTAATGTATAAAAAAACATAGTTTTTCTTTTATAAAGCAAATACTACTGTAAACTTTGTGGCAATTATTAATACCTATTCTGTGAGTAAAATTATAGGTAAAGGTAAAAATCAGCTTCCCATGAAACATTGAGGTTTTCCTTCACCATTTCCTAGTGTAGGTAGTTCTCAGGTTTATGTGATGTTGGTTTGTTTTTCAGTGACTAGACTTTTTCTCCTGTACAGTTTTGTTCAGCATATTTTTCATTTCTTAAGTCATTTTTTATGTATATTTTAAATTTAATATAGCAAGTACTTAAAGTTGGGAATAGGTGGTCTGCTGTTTCCCTACAAGTTTGTCAGGTTACTCCGCCTGAGGACCTCAACACAAGGCATCTTCATTTTAACAACTCCTTAATGCTGAAGTCTTTTGAATTGCTTGCTAATAGTGTATCTCTGATTTATTTATATTGTGTTGTGTTATTGCTTAGGTTTACATTGTTTCTGTTGTTGTATTGTAAATGTTTTAAAACTTTTAAAATTTTGTTTTATGTATGCATTGTTCAAGTTTTTTACTTTAGTGATTGTGTCAGAATAGTAGCTTTAATTATCTTTATTGTTAAGGACCTTTGACAGTGTTTAGTTGTATGCTTACTGTCTTTTAGTTTAGTTCAAATTCAGGAAAAACATTTATTGAATATTAACATGGTGGTTGCTGGAACTACAATTACCTTCAAGGGTGTTATATTGGATGTGGAACTGACATGTGTCATTCTGTTAGACCTTTTTACTTAAAAAATTCCAGCCCTATCGTAATACTTTTATTCTTATTTCCTGTCCTTTTTAAAAAATTGATTTCTGTTGATATGAAAAGTTATTAGTGTGAAAAATCTCTTCAATTTTGTTGTACATTTCTTTTGCTAATAGAAGACTTAGTGCATCTTTATGAAGTACTTAGAAATTTTTTGTGATATGATATGTTTGTTTATGATTGTTTTCTTTTAAGTAAACTTTTAAATTTAGGAACTTAAGTTACTTCCTAAATTTTCTGATATTAAGATTTGTTTACTACAATTATTTATCTTTGATTCCATAGCAGAATGTTTGTATATATGTGTAGTATATATGTTTTTAAGATATGTAAGAAAATATGTGGGGGAAACTTAATAAGGCTCTTCTGTTTAGGATTTTGAAAATTTCGTTGTGCCATCTAGCAGGGGATTTATCTTAATTTCTTCAAAGTTCCTTTTGCCATTTGAGATATTTGGGTTACTAAAAGGCCCACACATTTTCTGAAAGCAAAATGGAAAACATTTTTGAAGAAAAAATTAACTTTTTGTTAGATTTAAGAGAGAATTGCAAAGAAGAAATCTTATTTATTTATTTATTTTCGGTAGAGACCGGGTGTTGCTATATTGCTCTAGCTGGTCTCTTTCCTGGCCTCAAGCCATCCTCCAGCCTCACACAGTGCTGGGATTACAGGCATGAGCCACTGTGCTTGGCCTGGGAAATCTTACTGTAATTATTGATGAAAACCCTGTGTGGACAGTAACTTTCAGCTATTTATAAATAACTTCAACTTTTTTTTTTTTTTTTGGAGACAGTCTTACTCTGTCACCAGGCGCCAGGCTGGAGTGCAGTGGCGCAATCTCGGCTCACTGCAACCTCCACCTCCCGGGTTCAAGCAATTCTCCTGCCTAAGCCTTCCAAGTAGCTGGAACTACAGGTGTACGCCACCACGCCCAGCTAATTTTTTGTATTTTTTAGTAGAGATGGGATTTCACCATGTTGGCCTGGCTAGATGGTCTTGATCTCTTGACCTTGTGATCTGCCTGCCTCGGCTGCCCAAAGTGCTGGGATTGTGGCGTGAGCGAACGTGCCCAACCATAACTTCAGCTTTTTATTGTAAAATAGAAACAACGTTCCTGGCACCGTAGGCTTTTACTAAGGGTTTTCATTGACGTCAAGCAGGGAAATAATCCTATTTGTATTCCTTACAACAATAAAAGCTATAGATTATGGTTATTTTGTAACCTTGGTGCTAAAATTAACTAGCAAAATAATTGCTGCATCATCTTTTCTGTTATGTTGAACTAGGTTGGTTTCTGTAGTTGTTAAAGACAATTTTTTTCTGTTGACATAGTTTAGTGATTCGGATTATATTTCAGCTGTCTTAAAAAAATCATAAAGTAGTTTTAAAGGTCATAAAAATAAGAAACATAGAAGATTACGTTTCTCTGTTGGATGCACAAAAATTGGGATGCCAACTGTTTCATTTTGACAGAAAGCAGCCAGTATTCTTTGAATGGTTTTGACTGTGTAAAGTGTTACTTTATCTAACTGTAGTTTGCAGATGGTTTTTAGGTGTGCCCAGTAATACATTTTTTTTTTAACCTCCAGTGAGTGAGCAAAAGAGTATTTTCCCAAATAATATATTTGAGATACTGAATATAGTGTTTACATATACCACTTGAGAATGTATTCAGAATCACTGAAATGGTGTGTAGTGGCATTATCAGTATTATGAGGAAATGTTTGTTTTCTCTCTCATTTTGTAAACAAATGTGTTCCCTTTTTACTTTGACAACTATGATTCATAAGTGTGAAACAATCTCATGTTTACAATCCATTTCTTAATAGGTATATTGAAAAGAAATGTTCAACGGCTGTAAGTTGATGTCTTTAGTTTTTACGATATAGTTCAACATTGTTTTAAGACCAAGAAAACAGACACACTGTAGAAACATGAGTATTTAGAGCAGCCTTTTATTCAAATAACACTTTTATCTATTACTGTAGGTTACTACTTGTAGCTACTGCATCCTTTAGTGAAACGAAGATGTCCATTCAAGGCTACATTATGGCTAGCAAAATCATCATTCACTTAATTAAAAAAACCCTCTGATAGTATGGTTTTTGGAGATTAAGCAAATTAAAAAGTCATTGAACTCTTACAGGTATCCTTAATATTTCTGAAGAGTTGATTCACACTGTGTAATTGAGTATATTTTCAACTAAAGGAAAATACCTGCTTACATCACATGTTGCTTTTCTGTCATAAATGACATTGATATGACATCAAGCAGCGTTGTTTAATAGACGAATTTTAGCTTGCATTGCTTTCTTTTCAAGCAAGTATTGTAATACTTGTAATATATGTTAAGACTAAAACTATCAGTAATAGTGTGATTTAGTTCATTTTTGGCACATGAATTTTAAACTTTTAATCATACCTAGTTTGATGCTCCTTTATCACTAGACAGAATTCATCTATGTAGTAGTGGAAAAAAATTATATTGCACTTGTTTTGGAAAAAAGGTTTGGTGTACCAGTGTGTCACTGAGATTTGTTTAACTAGTTTCGGGTTTTATGGCTTTGTGTTTCTCTTGGACAGCATTTGCAATCAGACAGGACGTTGAACTAAACATAGTGGTTCTCTGGTCTAGCAAAATTCAGTTTTCAGATGTTTATTATTTTATTCCCTATTTGTACTTTTTTGGGGAGTGGTGAGGCTATTCGTGTATACTAATTACATCTCTGAATCCAACTACACGTGTTAGTTCTTTCTGTATTTGCACTGGAGTCTTTTCACTCTTTTTATTATTAGTGTTTGTTGATTTTTTTTAAAGCTTCAGTGAACCTTTTACACTATTAATCTTATTTTTGAGAATTGAGTTTTAAAAAATTATTTGTGTCACATAATTGTACACATTTATGGGTACAGTGTGATATTTTTATGCATGTGTACAATGTGTAATGATCAAATTAGGTTAATTTGCATACTTACCACCTGAAATATTTGTCATTTCTTTGTGTTAGGTACATTTAAAAGCTGCCCTTCTAGCTATTTGAAAATGTACAATAAATTGTTACCATTATGCTACAGTGTTAATAGAGTATTAGAATTTATTCCTCCTATCTAGCTGTTATTTTTTTCTTTTTTCTTCTTCTTTTTGAGATGGAGTTTTTCTCTATCGTCCAGGCTAGAGTGTAGGGGCTGATCTTGGCCCACTGCAACCTTCACCTACTGGGTTCGAGTGATTCTCTTGCCTCAACCTCCTTAG